AGGATGAGGAGGCCGGAGGAAAGATTGAGAAGTCTTCAGGTACATTTCCTTGATTTCTAACTCAGCCATTCCTGGTAATTATGTACTTTGTTCCTGAACATTCACAGGAGACCCACATGACTTTCCTAATAAAACTATCTTTATGTATTTCCAAAGAACCAGACATGCATATTGTCCTCTTCATTCTTTCTTTATTCCTTTCTTCCCCTTTCTTTTTCTAACATAATGCCTGGCACAATGTCAGGTCATAGCTCAGGTCATTGGTATTCTCTAAAGCTGAGCAGGTCAAGAGGGTAAAGCCCCTGGGGGGAGCTTTACCAAGAAAAAGGAAAAGGGGGTAAGCATATCAAAGTAGTTTATTATAGGGGCTTAGATAAGTCACCTACTCCATGTATGGAGTGGAGTTAGATCTTACCAAAGACCCAGAATCCTGGCTGTCAGCAAAAATTGTGCTTTAGTCACATGGTCACATGGGTCTGCTTATATCTGCAGTCCTAAGGTAAGAGTTCCAAATTCTGTGAACAATAGAGACTTGGAGTTCATGTTCACAATGATCTTTTCTATATAAAATTACAGATACAGTCACCTTAACTAGCATTCAGGGCCCAGCTTCTCCACTGGATATCAACAGTGTGTGAATGAGATGGATTAGCAGGGAAGAGTTCTCTCATTTTAAATTAAGGGGCTGTCAAATGGAGATTCTGTCATCAGTAAGTGAACGATAAATTCAGAGCCTGGGAACTGGTCTTGGTTCTGTATGAACTGAGATCAGAGCATTTTTCTGATCATCTCTGCAGATGACCCTCTGCAGACTAGAGATGTGCTTGTAGCACAAACTGCCTTGTGAGCCATTTGTAGCTGGTGGCCTATGGCTGATCAAGGGTTCCCAATCACTTCTGTCATGACATCTTCATGGAAATACATTTGGACCTAGATATGGGTAACAAACCCAGTCATAGCTCATGCAATCCAAATGCAGAGCCCCCAAAGAAGTCTCTTGAATCAGGACATCTCTTTTAGGATATTCATGGTAGAAAGAACAGTATTCGATCTCCTCTTCCTTTTTTTTTTTAAATTTTTCCTGTGATCATTAGATGATGAAATTCTTTCTCTGCTTCTGGTAAAGGGCATCAGTGATTGCTGTAAGCCTCAGAACCTCAGCCCTGATCTACCCCTGACCCATCAGGCAGTGCATTCCAACCCAGAGATATGGCCAATATCATTCACTACACTGATAAAACTGTCAAAGTTACTTTTTCAGAACTCTAGGGAAAAACAAACAAACAAACCAAAAACAAAAACAAAGGCTTACACCAATTCAGAGTTCTTTTTCAGATAAAATGATTCAGATCTCAGAACAGCAAGCTCTGTAATATCTTTAATTTCCCTAATTCCATTCTCCGTTCTCCAGACAGGACTTAAAAAAAAAAAAAAGTTTGCAACCAGAATGAAAACGAGCAGCCTATGGAGGGATAAAATGGGGTTGGAGTTGCCCTAAAGCCCAGTTCCCTGAAAATTGCCTGTCTTGACCTGTCTTGAAGTTCCTTGGAAGACTTCCTCACAAGGCTTGTCTTTGTTTGATCTGACTCAGAGGTCATATAGTACTATTTCCTGGAGGGCAATTGTTTAACAGGCAGGTACTTGAGATGGTGATAACAAGGTGGAGCAAACAACAAGCTAAGCAAAATTTTAATGGAAAAGCTGGGGGATCAAATGTCCATAGCTTCAGAAATTCCTGGGAATGTTCCACATAACACATGATAATGAATACAGTCCACACAGAATTATGTGGTTAAGTCACTAAACAAACTTAAGAGTAACAACCATCACAGAAGCAACAAATGGCAAAAGAAATAAACCCTTATAAATAGAGGACAATTCGTTTTCCAAAGTTCCCACAATATATGAATTTTTTTTTAGTTGTAGATGGATGCAATACTTTTTTTTTATATTTATTTTTATATTGTGCTGAGGATTGAACCCAGTGCCTCACACATGCTAGGTAAGTGCTCTACCAGTGAGCTGCAATCCTAGCCCTCCCACCGTATATTTTGAGAATAATAGTTTTCATCCAAAGAAGGAATGGCCCATATAAACGAAAACAGCAGTCGATGAATACTGTCCAGGAGGAGGCCTAGATGTTGGACTTGTGTAAACAAAGACAGGAAATCGTCCATTTTAAATATGTAAAAAAAAAAAAATCCTAAAGGGAAACCATTTTCAAAGAGCTAAAGAAAAGCAAGAGAATAATATCTTTACTAGGGAATAATAATAAAGAGAATTAGAAGCTCTGAGACTGAGGGGCACCATCAAGCATATAAGCACAGCAGCAGTTCCAGATGGAGAGGAGAGAGGGAAGAAGGTGAAAGAAAATTTGAAGAAATAATTGTTGAGAAGTTCACAAATTTGATGAAAAACTTGAGGAGTTGCCAGATAGAAACAACTTATCATATATGATAGCTCCTCAATAAATTTAACATCTGATGTCTCATGAAACCACAAAGGCCAGAAGGGTAGGAAATTTCATATTCAAAGTACTATAGAAATATGGTACATATAAAACTCCATATTAGCAAAACAGTTCTTTAAAAATTGGAAGACATTACCAGATAAACAAAAACAGGAAATTCACTGCTAGCAGACCTGCTCTGCAAGGAAACCTTCAGAATGAAATGAAAGGACCCAATAGGGTAATCAAATCCACATGAAGACCTAAAGAACATCAGCAAAGATCAGTATGCAGGTAAATATTTTTGTAACCCATTCTCTCTCCTATATGACTATTGCATAAAGTGATAATCAAAAGAATATATTAATGGGCTTATAGTTATAAAAATTATGTCAATATCATAAAGAAGGGGAAGAGAATGGACCCCTATTAAGTTTTTATATTCTACTGAAATTAAGATGGTATTAATCCTAGTGAGATATTTATAAATTGTGATGTTAATAGCAATTTCCCCCAAAAAACTCCAAGAAAATAATGTGAAGAAATATTTTAAAAAACAAGTGAATTAAATTGGTATACTAGAAAATATATACCACAAGAAGGAAGTAATGAATTGAGAGGAAAGGTATTTTATATACATTCCTCTATATATCAATTTTGAATCAATAGATTCAACCTATAATGGAGTAAAAATATTTGGAAAAAATTGTGTCTGTTCTCACTTTTTTATTGTCATTATTTACTAAATAACACAGTAGAGTGAATATTATTATTTATACATATTTTACATTGTATGAGTATTATAAGTAATCTTGAGATGAGTTAACAGATAAGAGGCGATGTGTGTAAGGTATAGGTATATACTATACCATTTTTAAGATAAGGGACTTGAATCATCTAGAGATTTTGATATCCATGGGGGTCCTGGAACCAATTTGCCATAGATA